TCATTTGATATATTAAATGGATCTCTATCCGGAGATTTTGGTGGTGGCGGTGGTGTATCTTCAGCTAAAACATTAATAACACCTGCCTTGCCCAGTAAAATTTTAGATTTTTTAACATGAGGATGTGGAATTTTAATTTTGGGTGGTGGCCCTGTATTCTTATTAATTTTGGAGGGATCGATGTCATCGGGTATACCCAATATAATATTCTCATCATTTGGATCTAAAGTTAAAACTTTAGGTTTAGGTATTTTAGTCATCTCTTCTGCATCCCATATAATTTCATCTTCCCATTTGCTATAGATTAATTCTTCATTTTCCACTGGGAATATACTATACCAAGTATCGTCCACAGCTTCAGGAGGTTTGGTGGGTAAGCTAAAAACAAAGTATGATTACAAATACATATTAGGGAATGTGGTTAACTCACTTTTGATTAGATTTTTGTTTGCTAGAAGAACTGCTACTTGAACCCGTTATTTTACCACCTGTTGCTCCTGTCACCGGCAACGTTTTTCCAGCAGGTGTAAACGCTCGTGAGCCACTAGATGGTAACCAACCAGCTGCATTAGTTTTAGAATTTAACTTTTGTAGCACTTTTGCTTTAATCTCATTGCCATCCCAAACAACTTCGTCTTCCCAATGCAGTTGAGAGACCATAAGAAACGCATCATCCGCTAAGGGTTCTTCAACCACTTCTTCTTTAGGCTCTTCCTTTTTAATGTGTTGCATAGATTTAGAATTTTTATGTTCGTGTCGTACCTTAAAGCCGTAATTAAAACCATCTCCCGAATCTGGCACTTCTAACATGTCGTACCAAATTTGTGCCGGTCCATAACGCCAATCTGCTATTTTTGGTTTACTATCACTATTATCACCACTTTCAGGTTCATGCTTAATATCCTCATCATTGAAAATGCTCAATAGTTTGTCCTCATCATCCGACTGACATTGTGCTGGCTTTGGCTCAGGCCCATAATGTACACCAAAGCCTTTTTTGCGCGGTTCTTCGGAATCGCTGGTAGAATCTGAACCGGGGTTGTGTACTTTGTGATCCCGGGACTGTTTACGTTTGCGTCTCCTTTTCTTAACATGGCGCCAAATTTGTGGAAGACTTGAGGGTTTTCCCGGTCCAAAAAGACGTGAAAATCTTAAAACTTTATCAGGTCTAAAATCGGGAAATAATTCACGCACGTCTACATTGGCATATTTAGATGGCAACATATCAGCCAAGGGTGTATCTAATTTACGTTCTGGTGCTAAGATAACTTAATTAGTTGGGTTAAGATTTTTTTATTTTATATAACCTTACCTTTTTCTTGTTTTGAATCAGAATCCATGCCACTATCCGAACCACTCTTGACCGGCATATCTTGCATATTGTTTCTTACAGGTATGCTGGGAGGAGGCATTAGTTCTTTATCATCTTTGTTAATAGCAGAGGAAACACCAGCCTGTACTGTAGAAGCCGGTATAGCTTCTTCTAAATCTTGCAAACTATCTGCTTTATCATCTGTCGTCTTCTGTGTTGGAGGTGTCTTAGGGCAATCTTCTGATAGCTCTGTTATATCTGAATAATCTACAGCATCAGCATCTTTGATAATTTCACCGTTTTCATCTTCCTGCTCATCTTTAGGGTCTAAAAGGCCAGATTTTAAAGCATCAAAATCACTCATTGGCTTTTTGGTTTCTTCAGTTTCCTTTTCTTTTTCATCCGTTTCTTCTAGCTCTTCATCTACATCTTCTTTTTCGATAACTTCGTTTAACATCGAATGTAAACCCATTCTATTAAAATAATTCAATTATTTACAATTTTGTTTAATTCTTTTAAAACAACTTACTTTGCTAACGAGCCCAAATGCTCTCTGAATTCCGAATCAAATCCGCCACCGCCATCATCATCCATTAATTTACCCTCCGAATCGATGTTACCAAAAAGAATGCCCGTTAAGTCAATTCCAAAGCCCCCTTCTCCACCCTGTTGACTACTCTGGCTACCGCCATCACCATTTCCAATGGAGCCCTCATCATCACTGTCGGTATCCATATTTTTAGCTAATGCTTCTTCTTGTTCTTGATTTTTTCGCGTTTGGAGTCTTGAAAATTTCTAAAAATTATTTCTTTCTTTTTTTGCTTATATACTATTTTTTATTAACAAACTTAAGTATATTTAGAAAAAGCACATATTAAAGTTTATCTTAATACAGTTTTAATTTATAAAATACTACATTTATGGGCAAAATTTTGCAACTTTTCGTAAAATTCAAGAAATACGCGGTGTTTTTCTCCCAATTACTATAAATAATGAAAAAATAATAAAAACACAAAAACGTCAAATTATCTGGGATTAGAAACCTGCGCCGACGAATATTGACGACTACGCCGTCTGACACTAAAAATATCGGCGGCAACTGGAATACCTTCCGATCACTTGATGTACTTGCGTCTGTAACATCAATAATAGAGAAATAGCAATTAATAGCAAAGATCATCTTCGTATGCATTATATAAATCTCAAATTTTTGGTCTATCATTATATATGATGAGTTCGTTGAATTTTGGTTCAACCTGGATAGTGTACGGAAAAGAAACAATTGTGTGCTGCCACTTTGAAGTGTAGGCATGCTGTCAAACTCCATATATAAAAAATAAAATGAATTCGCTCCGTATTTCTGAATTCGCCGACGACACTACCTTATAATAGGGTTCTATAAATCGACTTTCGAATAATCGAACAATCGACTTTTTGTCGAAAAAAGTCGAAAAGTCGAAGTCGACTATTTTGTTCCAAAAAAGTTGATAACTCGACTATCGTCTATGAAAGAAGTCGAAAAGTCGACTTTGTAAATAAAAGTCGAAAAAAGTCGAAAAGTCGGAAAGTCGAAAAAGTCGAAAAAAGTCGAAAAGTCGAAAAAAGTCGATAAGTCGAAAAAAGTCGAAGAAAGTCGAAAAGTCGGAAAAAGTCGAAAAGTCGGAAAAAGTCGAAAAGTCGGAAAAAGTCGAAAAAAGTCGAAAAGTCGAAAATAGTCGAAAATTTTAAAAAAGTGGAAAAGGGGTCAAAAACTCTAAAATAGTCGGAAAAACGGAAAAAAAAAGTAAAAAAATAGTCGAAAAAAGTCGAAATAAGTCTAAAATAGTCAAAAAGTCGCAAAAAATCGTAAAGTCGAAAAGTCGAAAAAAGTCGAAAAGTCGAAAAAAGTCGGAAAAAGTCGAAAAAGTCGAAAAAAGTCGAAAAAAGTCGAAAAAAGTCGAAAAAAGTCGGAAAAAGTCGAAAAGTCGAAAAAAGTCGGAAAAAGTCGAAAAGTCGGAAAAAGTCGAAAGGTCGAAAAGTCGACCATTTATAGAATACTAAAAGTCGAAAAGTCTAAAAGTCGACTTTTAAATAAATGAAAAAGGTCGAAAAGTCGAAAAATCGACTTTTCATAAATTGGAAAAAGTCGAAAGGTCGAAAAGTCGACTTTTAACTAAATGCAAAAAGTCTAAAAGTCGAAAAGTCGACTTTTCGTTTCAACTATAGAACCCTACCTTATAATTAATATCAAGATATATTAATTATAAGGTAGTGTTAACAGAGCAGCTGATTATTTTTTGCTAATACACTTTTGATTTTTTTTATATGTAGTTTGACAGTGTGCTGGCACTTTGAAGTGTAGGCATGCTGTCAAACTCCATATATAAAAAATAAAATGAATTCGCTTCGTATTTCTGAATTCGCCGACGACACTACCTTATAATTAATATATCTTGATTAATATATCTTGGCTGTGACACTATTACAGTTGCTTTGTTTGCAGTAGTGAATGGTATGAAAAGCCAATAATCGATTTTCGATTTTTCGCAAAATATTGCCAGTTGGAATAAAATCCCACTATTTCCGACAAATAGATTCTTAAAGTCACTCTGACGTTCTTATTAATCTAATGATCAATGTCCATATATATGTATATGACCACTTCCGAAATTTGCTTTTTTATGACATATGATTTGCCGAATAGGTATAACTCTTACTTCTTAATTATTTTAATCATAAAGAAATTACCGCTAAAATAGGAATAATCTGCCTTTAGAGTTGCGAGTTTTCATACACTCTAATAATGTTTTCAAAGTGAAACTTTTTGGAATATTTTTCAATCTCTTTGTGATCCCTTTAATTGATGTTGTTCTATTTGTCTTTTTTAAGAAAATCTTAACACTTATTGAAACTTTTAAAATTTGGTGTTCTTCAAATCGATTTTTTTTTAAAGTAGAATTCAGAAAAATAAACATATTTTAGCTTTGTTCCAGAACTTTTCTGGCTAAAGAGAATTAATGAATTTTTTCTTCGTACTTGTAAAAAGTCCGGGAACAGAAAAAACTAAATTTCTCTTTCAATAAATAAAAAATTTCAAAAAATTTTTGTTTTCAATGTACTTTTTAAACAAATAATTTATTTTCTATTGCCAGGAAAAAATTTTCTGGCTAAAACCGACAAGTTGTGGCAAAGAGAAACTATTATTATTATTATTTCCATGATTATTTCTCAATTTTGTTCTCTTTTACAATATCTGGTAAAAACCTGCAAACATGACAAGAAAAGGAACACAGCTTTTATATGAAAAAGAGTTTAAAATGCCCATAGCATTTATATTTAGTTACAATTGTATTAAAAAATGCAGAAAAATAATTATTTAATTTATTAGAATAAAATTACATTACATTTACAAGAAGTTTTATATGGAGGATAGGGTCAAATATAGGCCGATCCTCGTAAAACTTGGAGAAAGGATTTGTTTTTAATTTTTAAGAATTTTTTATCCATCCCTGTATAATTTCTCACACAACTTTTGTGCTTGGTCTGTTTTGTTGTTATAAACAATATATTTGCTTCCAAAATCCCACTTTCTGATCTCTCGGATTCCGTTTAAATTTAAAATTGTAGAGAATTTAAAAACTAAACGTAGTTGAAAACTTAGCCAGCTTACAGTCGATTTTAAGCCGCCGCCGACATATTTGGTGTCAGTCACCGCCGCCCTTAATATTTGTCGGCGCAGGGTTCTGTTTGGCGTCTAATTTAAAGTAATTTTTAAAAACGTGAAATTAAGTTAATTTATTATGAGTAAATACGATTTCGCTAGACGCATTAAACGTATTGTTCATGCAGAATGCGATATTACAAAAGTTGAAACAAAAATAGCACATAAAAGTGCAAAATACTATGAACAAATGAGTAAGTACAGCAAAAATACTCCAGTTCAGAAAATAGCTTCTTGTTCTCGAATGGAATGGAGGAATGTATTATAGTATAAATATGTTTTGCTAGGTACCGGTACATTGCAACATATATGTACAATAAAGATGTTGCGTACGATCAAGCAAGATAGATAGGAGGTTAAACTTTTGATTTATTGAAAGTGATTTGTGCAAGCCAAACTGAACTAGTAGGATGGGGTGACAAAACTATAATCTAAAATAGCCAGTATGCTGGTTATATGTGTTAAAGAAGTCTTATAAGCTTATAAGGGAGAAAATTTTGGCTTTTTGATGGAGCCTTTTCCAAATAATAGAAAAAACAACAAGTCTTGCTTGCACACCTATTTCGAAATTAACTAAGATTAACACTTTTGTTATTTTAGGTTCTTTAAAAACTACTCTGGCCAAACAGGAGCTGGAATTAAAAAAATATCAAAAAGAAGTGGCCAAATTAAAACGTGAAAACGATAAATTAGAAAAGTTTAAACAAAATGAAGAGGAACGCTTATGTGACACAATACAAAAGGTAGAAAAAATGCAGGTCGAATATCAACAGACACTGCAACAGCAAATAGAACAGAGACGAGCAGCACTATTGCAAATGGATTGGTAAGTACATATTACTTATGTAAAATAGTTTAATTTATTTTATTGAAAAATAATACTTGCAGCATACACAGCATTAAGCAGGCCACTCAAACGTACATCAATTTAAATGCCTTACCTCAACTCATTCAAGGCGTGGCCATATGTGAAAAAGAATCATCAAGTGATTGGAGGCCTTTTCGAATTGATCCTTCAAAGCATACATTAAAGGAAGTACAAGACTTAATTTGGCATGATTCGGATGTTGGTTTAGTTCACAGAGAAACTTGGGAAAAATTAATACTAGGTGATATTTTGTCTGATACAAGTAAAAATATGGAATCGGAAAATGATAATGCAACAATGGTTATTTAAATATGTATGTTTATAAAATTATTAATATTTTTCCGTTGATCTGCAAAACATACATACCTATATATCTATAATAAGTTATAAAAGAAATAATAAATTAAGTTATATTACCCTTATTTAGTTTCGTCGTTTTTATAGGAAGGATGTTAATATTTTTTATTAAAACAAACGTTATTTATTGGAAAAATACATATGTACATTTAATCATTGGAATTTCGTATACATATTTTATTTATTATTTTCTTTCTTCCAATTGCACCCAAAAATCTTTAGGGGATGTAATTAAACCACTTAGATTTGTACTTAAATCGGGAAGTTTATCTGAGGGACCTAAAACAAAACTAAAATTTTGACACATAGCCGTCGTCATTAGGAATAACATATTTCGGGCAAATGTTTCTCCGGCGCATAAGCGTTTTCCTGAAAGATTAATAAAGATAATTTGATTCAAAATAAGGAAAGTTTTTACTAACCTGCGCCAAATGGAAAAGAGACATCTTTTTTCAAGCACAATTTACCCTTATCATCTAGAAAACGTTCAGGTCTAAAATTTTCGGGATCACCCCAAACGCGCTTATCATTATGATATCCATATAAGCTGGGTACAACTAAAGTTTCCTGAAATACATATTGAATCAATAACAGATGTATTTAAACTTGTTAAAATGATACTTTACAAATCAAAATGTTTGTATATCTTGCAATAATTTTGGAATACTAATGACTAAATGGTAGCTATGTATCTAAAAAACGATATACGTACTTTCGGTATTTTATAACCCAATAATTCTGTATCACACATAGCCTTATGCGGCACATCCGATGGTACCAATGTCTCAATTCTTAATATTTCTCTTATACATGCTTCAGTATAGTTACAAAATTGACGATCTTCCAATGTAGGCAAACGTCCACTACCTACTACATCATCAATTTCCTGTTGTATTTTGTTCTGGACATCTGGGTACAAAAGCAAATATTGTACTAAAAATGCTAACTGTGTGCCAATAGCGGTAAATGCTGGAAATGAAAAATCAATCAAACTCAGTATAAATTGATTTCGTTTAAATGTTGAAGTCTCAGCAGTGCCCTCCATTTCGGCTTTTTTCATTTCTCCTATATACAAATCCAAAAAGTTACGCTCATTTGCTTCATCATATGTTTTGATGTGACGATCAATGAAGTCCTCAAAATATTTATACAAATAAACATTTGATTCCATAAGTGGTTTATAGGCACTCCATTGCGGAAAAATGTATCTTATCCAGGGTATAATACCAACCAATTTACCATAATCATCGGCATTACGTTGAAATTGCATACCCAAACGTACTAGTTCCCACAATTCAGCTTGTTCGCTGCGTGTTTTTCTTTCGTTGTACATAATGTGAAAAACACTATTGGCCGCAAATGGACTAAAAAAATAGGGCATCAATATGCGTAGACCACCTTCTTTTACATAAGGTTTTTCATGCTCATATTTTGGTCCAGTACGTATTAAGTTCATCATATCTGTGATTTCTTCTTGTATGACCAACTCTAATTCCTGAAAACGTCGACCAAATCCAAAGTCTCTTAAATAACGCAATATAAAACGTCTTTGTTCTTTCCAGAGGGTTCCTTCTTCAAAGAAAATTCCTGAAAGGAATTTTAGAGATTGGTAATACTTAATATCCTTATTTGGTAAATACTGGAATAAATTTAAGGAATTATAATAATGTAGCAAACCTAATCAACGAATAGTTAGTTAGTTAGTTAGTTTGAAAGGAGGATGTATATACATCAAATCCGAAGAAATACACCTAGGCCTCTATCGGGCCTGTTGTGCGCTCCTTAACCAGTGCCTCAGGTGGGAATCGAACCCACCACCTCCGGTCTACCAGACTAGAACAATAACCTACCGGAGGCCCCACTAACCTACCGGAGGCTATCAACGAATAACAATTACGTTTTTTGTAACTTTCAAACGATTAAACTTTGTATAAAGGCGAATTTGCGCTATTATAACGTCTAGAATTCAGAACTTAATCACCCCTATTCTGCATTTCGATTACGTTTCCGAATTCGTTTCCGAAAAAATGGAATCTTAAGAAAAAGAAGAAGCAATTCCATTTTATTTCAATGCTTTACGATTGTGTGTATTCTGCATTACGATCGTAACTACGTATTTGTATACTGTTATTTTAGTAATGGAGTTTCGATTCGAATTGAAATGCAGAATAGGGGTGAATATATGATTCATACCTTGGAAAAGTATATTCTAGTCTCTGGATTAAAAATGTCTTATTGTAAACTTAGCTTCGATTGATTATAACGAAAAATAATTATAAATTATTATGTGTTTAATTTACGCATATAACCGTTGATCTATTAGTATCAGCTCTTCAATTTTCTTATTTATTAGCAAAATAAATATATATTTGTTTAATTTCTTATATATATGTTTATATATCATTTAAAAAGAAACAGAGAGTTCGAATTTTATTAATCTCAATAATTAGTATAAACAGTTGATAAGAAATAACAGTTTAAAATGTTATAAAATTTAACGTTCAATTGCCAAGAAATTTTTAATAATCTTAAGTTTTTTTTTTGGAAATTTAAAAACATATTTTTATGAAAAAACTTTGTGATTAGCATTTTATTAAATGGTGTTATGTTTTATTCAAAAGGAAACTTTTTTCACCAAGAATTTGCAATTTATAAATAAGATCTTTGCTTTGAATTTTTTTAATATTTAAAATAATTTTTTCAAAATTATTTTGCATTAATATATTATCATGTAAGCAAAAATGTCGATTCTTAAATTCAACTTGAATGCTTCTAATGATTAACTTGTTCACTTTAAATAGTTTTTTTAGAATGCAACTTGTCTCGAATTTATAATTAAATTCTACTGTTTTATTTTACCATATCATACCTGCGGATTGTAGATTTGGTTCACGTATAAGAGATAGATATATTTTAGGACGTCCATCGAAATCGGAATTGGTTAAAATTTCTCGAACGCCTTCGGCGCAATGCACAGCCACGACAGGAAATGGACCCACATAAAAACCGACAATATCCGATTTATACCATTTTGAAAATTTTAAAACTCCTTTATGTAAATATTTAAAATCTGATAACATCATGAACAAATAACTACCAAACAAAGGAATACGTGGTGGTCCTATATTAAATAGGAATGAAAAAATATTAGTTTTAGATTTTATTTGAAAAGTTCATTTTAATGTTTTCTCAAAATTTTCACTACTAACCGGGGGGAAACCCTTCTGGCCTATATGTACAATATTTATAAGAACCATATAGAAGAAATAATACGCAAATACACAATAATATTAAAGTTAACATTTTCTTTATTTATATTTTTTATTAAAATTTTGCATTAAACTGCTTCTGATTTTATTTCAATATTAATGCGAATACTTCACTGGACGATAACTAAATGAAATTAAATCGTTTGTGTTAATAGATTTTGTTGTCTGCTTATTTTTTTCTTATTTTTTTCAGAATAATAAAATACAAAGTGATTTTTATATGGTACATACATATGTTCATATATATTTAATAATCATTTAAACAAAAAGAAAACATAAAAAAAAACATGCAAGTTTTAAAGATTACGTTTATTAAAGATGCAATATACAATGTCTTTTTGACAAAATTTATTTATCGGTTCAATGAATGGGTCATAATATCGTCTTCATAGGAATATCTGCTGCTAAAAAACTCATAAATACATAATAATACACATGTATGTATTTATATGCATATATAAGTGTAAGGAATATGAAACATAAAGATGTGTTCCTATAAATACTTATCTATAAGGTATTGTTAAGATAATTTTTAACTTTTAAATTGCATATAAAAATTTCAGAAATTAATCCGTAGACAACAATCAAAATATAAAAAAGTCAGTAATTTCTCAATGTGTTAAATTTTATTTCAACTGCCTGTTAATAATCTTAAAATTTTTATTTTGTATTCCTTTCACGACTATTATTTGTCTCCAAAATATTAAAAAAAATGTACATGTGTACAAAAAATTCGACTTTTATTCCTTTACATCTCAACCTGTCTGGAAATTGTTATATGTAGTATCGAAAATGATTAATTTAATTTTATATTAAAGTATTTAATATAGAAAAAATACTACTTATTGAGGATTAAGGTAAAAAGGACATAACTGTTTTTTTTTAATTGCACATTTGGTTAACGCAATAACAATAATTTTTTTTGATCACATTACACACAGCTTTAGAACATGTCAGATATTATATTTTCTAAATCATTCTATTTCAATTGTTATTTCGGTCAAAATGGACTCCTAGAAAAAATTTCGTGATAAAAAAAAACTTTTCAAAAAATCCAGTATGGACTTTCATAAAAAATCGCAAAATGGTTTATCGTCACTCTATTTAAAAAGTCATAAAGCAGTATAAGGAAGACTTGAGCATTATAAGAAAACCTGGTTCTTAAAAAAAAGATGTAAGTCTAACTGTTTCGAAGAGCACCAAAGACTTTAAATAGAAAATAGTTCGTAAAGGTAAATGCTGTGATTTTTTGTGCGCAAAAAAAGTCAAAGCTAATGTTGTATTGAAGTCGTATAATGTTCAGATGATGTTCAGTGGTTCAGATAGTTCCAGAAAACAAAATAAAACGAGCGAAAAAACGTATGTCAAATTTAATAAATATATACTTGTTGTGTGATGATGACTTATTGAATATACTTTGAGACTTTTTACAACTTTAGGGTGCATATTTTTGTACGGTTGATGGATGAGGTAATTTTCAAGAGTAATACCGGACAAAAGTAAACAAAATTCTTCAAGTGGTCTCTTGTGTGACAAGCCATTAGCAGTTGTGACAAAAGAAGCCAATCATCGGACTCGATAAACAAAGTATCTTTTATCTTTTATGAAAGTGCTTTCATATTTCTGAACCGCTTTGGCATAATGACAATTTTTTACCACGACAGACAAATCCACAAAACTGTCCACAACTTCGGTCTGTGTAAAGGTATTGGTCTCTTGTAAAAAATAATTATAGAACAAAAGAAACATGTCCCGGAGTATGTTCGACTTTAAGCGTTAGTGTGGACCACCTCGCCCAAAAATGCAAAGGATAGCAACTATAAAATCTTTGATAAAAGGAATTCGAAAGAATATATCAAAAATTACATACTGATTAATTTGCCAATATTGAAATGTTTAATGAATGCGCATTCACATGTGTACAATATTTGGATAAATTTACGTATTTTTGGCAATTATATTATTGAACGGCTTTAGTTTTATTTAACTTGATACAAGTATAAATTGAACGTCACTTTCCTTTCAATAATGTAGTAATTGTTATAATGTAAAATTAAACACAGCTAATATAAATGTTTTTAGTAAATAAAATTAAATTTATTTCTTATATAGTATTTCATATTGCACTGTGTTATTGTTATCTTTTATAAACACTATATGGGTCAAAATTGATAGTAAAACTTTGTATTTTTTTATTCAATATGAAGGACTCATAGATGAACTATTAAAATCGAATAAATGGTTTGTTTTAAGTAAAACAAAACTTTTTAATACTTACGCATGTTCCTAGTAAAATGAGTTTATATAATAAGCAGTTGTTTTAATTTAGTTATTTTTAAATTTATTATTTAATCTTGTAAATATGTAGTACAAAAAGTATTTAAATTATTTGACACATTATAAGCATTAGATAAAATAAGAGTTTTGTTATAAACATAATTAAAATTTAGTGGTAAAAAAACTTATAAATATAAAATAGAAATTCTTTAAAAAAGGAACTAAAAAATAAAATTAATAAAAAATGTTTATAATAAACAAAATATATATGTTTAATAATATAGCAGTATAATTAAATTATTAATTATTTTTATTATTGGCAAGAATATAAAAAATTATACATGTGTATGTATTGTAATTAAGTACGATTGACAGCGCAAATAAACGATGTATTACATATTTTATGGTTAGTACTTTAATTTCAAAGTATTAATTAGTTAAATACAAAAATGTAGATGTTAATAATACTGCAAACCTAGAATTAAAATTAACTTAGTATGTATATTAAAGATCCGTAGCTGTAAAAATTGGCAAAAATATTAATAATTAAAAGCAATTGTTCAACGTTGAGTTTTTAATAATAGCTGTTTTTGGAAATTTTTATAAGCTTTATATAAATGTATCTTAATTTTCAAATACAAAAATGCTGGTTAAAAGTTGAAATATTTTTTAAGTTTTCAAAAATTCTATAATCCATATGTAAAGAGAGTAAGTACTTTGTGGGATCAGGCCTGCCTAATACCGAATATTTATTTATTTTTATAAAAAAACTGTTTTTTCATTGATGAATTTAATACAAAACCAATACCAACAATAACTTAGTTGCCTTTTTTAAATGATCGGTTGTAAATACGTACATATATTTATGTATTCTTTATAAAATAGTATATGAATTCGTAAATAAAGTTTTGTACTCAAATCTATTTTAATATTAAATAGTGGGTTTACTTAAATCTTAAATAATCTGTTTTGGAAAAATATAAAAAGTGACATTCGTATTTACGATCCCGTTTTAACGAAATGAATTTCTCGTGCTTATAACATAAATTAAACAGGATTTAAAAACTATAATTAGAAGTGTATTATGTCCCACATAATAATCGATATCTTCGATATTTATATATTCACTTACATAACAATACTGCTATTATTAAGCACTCAACTCTTTCGTTACTGTGTCGTTGAAAATATCAATTAATTATTTTTCTTTTTTGGTTTCTTGGGATTACGCGAACGAGACTTGGCTTTACACAATGGACAAATGGGTGCATTACGATGTATTTGTTGATGACATGAAAGACACGATTTCATTGGAGGTGGTTGTTGTCTTAAGTTAACATTGAAATCAGAACGGAAAGTAGGATGATGTCCTAAACCTATAGAAGGAGCTTGTTGCAGGCGACTTGAGGGCGGTGGTGGTGGAGGCGGTGCAGAAAAATCACCTTTACCCAAACGTACAGCGGCCGAAGCATTTGAACCAGAGCCTGGAGGAGCTGGCGGCATAAAAGCATGACCACCAGTGGGTGGTGCTCCTGGATTGGAACCAACACTATTGGGAGCAGAAGGCGGCAAGGCAGTAACAGTCGCTTCTGGCATCAATGGATGACGCGGATGGGGTCTAGCCAAGGATGAGGCTTGTGTAGAAGCAGCAGCTGCAGCGGCCGCACTTTGTGCGGCAACTTTTAAAAAGTTTGTGGGAAAACGATCTTTTGATATAGGACTACCCTCCTCTTCATGTAAATCTCTCAGCGGACTCAAGCCCAAGTAGTCACGACGCATATGATCTATTTGATACTTTAAAGCCAAATATTCCTCATAGTGTCGATTAGCCATATCTACCGAACGCGTTTGATTCTCTTTCGTTTGTTTTATAACATTTTCCATATCATTGATGTCGGCATGAATTTGACGCAACTCTTCGACGTGCGACATCTTCTCCTCCAACAAATGTTCCAATTCCTTGCGGTACTCATCCAGACATTTATCCTCATCATCACTCAATTTAACCTCCTTAATAATGCGTACTTTTAATTTTTCCAATGCAACAGTTTTATCGCGTATATCTTTTATGGCCTCCAATTTGGCATAATAGTGTCGCTCATTGGAGCTTGGTAAATCAGCGGTGGTGGCCATTTTTACCGATTTTTCTATTGTTTGTACAATTTTCTTTTGTCTCAACTTCGCTTTGGTCTTTTATTCACTATATAAACTTTTATTTCGATTATTATTAAAAAATTAAGTTAGATCTTATCACTATAAACCAATTTGCATTTAAGTATGCAATTTTTTAAATATTTTTCCAATAAAATATTGTTTTTTACAAATTTGTCTGGATTTTTGTATTTTTTTACAATTTCTTTTCACTTGACTTTTATTGTGTACATTTGTATATACTTTCGATGTGGTATGTTCAGTGAATGTTTGTAAATTATTGATTTTCAATGTTGCCAGATAAATAACAAAATATGGCGACATTAAAAAATTTAAAAATCAAACTATTTATTTGTTTATTATGGAACCCATTATCCATCCCTAAAGTATGCAATTGATTTTGTATTTTTTTAAATAATATTTGTGAAGTGAATGAAATAATTAACTTTTTATGAAACTAATCATTCACTGTGAATGTCTGTTTATTTTGTTCCTTAAACAAAAATTGCAATATTTGTGCTCTTATATTTTTTTATCAAAACAAATTTTAATTAATTGTTTTTATGTTTAAAAGTGTTGTAAAATTGTTAGTAAAAAATATGAGTAGTGAAAGAATAGTAAAAGAAACATTGGCCAGAAAGTTAAGTGGCAGAAAAGTTCCCAGAAAGATCGATTCAAAAGCTGAACAGGCGGTAAGTTTTGCATTATTTCAAAATACCAAAAAATTCTGTGTATAAATTAAAAAAAATACCTACATATATGTATTGCACTTTAACTAACTTTATTTGAAGGAAAATAAATCGCAATTTTTTAATGAGATTAACAATCAAGATAAAGCTAATAAAAAGAAAGCTAAGGAAGTCCCTGTTAAAGTTGAGAATATTGCTATAAAATCTGAGGTAGCCCCCAAACGTAGTACACGAAAGCTAAAAAAGCAATCTATAATAGAAAATACGCAATCATCTTTAGAGATTGTAATAAATGCAAAGCCTGTTAAAGCCACCAAATCCCCGAATAAAACTAAAGCTTCAATTGTTAAAGAAGAGGAACCATGCAGCAGCAAAAAAATCAAACAGGAATCGTCAGACGAAATATGGCAACCTGCAAATTGGCAAACAATTTTGGAGAATATACGCAAAATGCGAACTAAAGACTCAGCTCCCGTCGACACCATGGGATGTCACAAATGTGCAGATGAAAATGCTGATGAGAAAGTACGTACATCTATCATAATTAAAGCCTTTTATTGATTACCTTAATATATTTTAGACTCAACGTTTCCACAAGTTAGTAGCTCTTATGTTATCCAGTCAAACTAAAGATGAAACCACCTATCACGCCATGTTGCGCTTGCGAGAACAAAATCTTACACCTGAAGTAATTTGTCAAATGAAAGTAAATGTTTTGGAGAACATATTACATCCTGTATCGTTTTATAAGGTATGATTTACAATTGCAACTAAAATTATTCAAGATTTTCCTATTAAATATTAAATTTCACTCACCAGAATAAAGCAAAATATTTACAACAAACGGCTAAAATACTAGTTGATAAATATGATTCGGATATACCAAATAATATAAAGGAATTGGTGGCCTTACCCGGTGTTGGTCCCAAAATGGCTCACATTTGCATGTCAACGGCATGGCATGAAGTGACTGGGATAGGAGTCGATGTACATGTCCATCGCATTTCTAATCGTATTGGTTGGTTGCCAAAGTCTACTAAAGAACCTGAACAGACTCGTTTAGCTCTGGAAAAATGGTTACCGCAGCAATTGTGGAGCGAAGTTAACCATTTGTTAGTTGGTTTTGGTCAGACCATATGTACCCCCGTCAAACCCAAATGCAGTGAGTGCTTAAATTGTGAAATATGTCCTTCTGCTACGAAAGTCGTTAAAAATAAGACAATTACTAATAAGGAAATTTTGGATATTTGCGATAATATCAAATATAAAAAAACAAAATTAAAAGCGTAAATTTTCCATAAATCTGCAGCAGCAAATCCAACATACATGTAAAGATGCCAGTATTCAAGTAAGTAGTTATTAACACAAAAAAATATTTATTTATTATCACTAATTTAGCAGAAAAAAGTATATATGTTAAAAATTATTATGTTTTATCCCAATAACAATCGAATCAAACCTGTCAACATTAGTGTAATAACCAAAGTTAAGCCCTATGACAACTCGGTAGCCAGTAGTTTTCTAATGTTGGTGCAAAAACCTTCCGTGGCAAATCGATCTTCTAAAACTATTCACAAATTTAAATGCATGTATGTATATAATTTTAATAGTATAATCTAGATGTTTAGCTACTAAATTTGGAAGAGGTATAATAACCGCAGTCCCTATCCCTGATTTGTCTGCTTGTAAATGTCGTCGGCCAAACAATGACACTTGTTTATATCGAAAATATCCGATTTTATATTATAAAAATAAAATTTTGTTTAGATTAAATATCGAAACATTAAAGGATTTGCCGCGGAAACTTTTTTGACGCTAGGAAAAATGAGATATATTTTTTCGTTGTACTTTTTGATACTCTATACGCCCATTTAAAATCTTCAAAAATTATAAAAAATTATAACGCTAGTGAACACTACTGATACATATTTGAAAATTTTTTAAAATAAATAAAATATTTTTCAAAAAATATCAAAGTTATCAAAATAGTTATCGTTTTTAGGGTATATCTCGTCTAGTTAAATGGACTTTTATATTTTCCCCCAAAAAATCGAATTTTGAAGAGTATTTAAAGTGATCACATATTATCGTTGTTTTGGCTCTATTTCCCTTTAGTTTCCAAAAAAAGGACCTATATGTTTTTACTAAAAAAATTAATTTTTCATAGGAAATAAAAGTGATAACCTTCCAAAATAAATAGACTCTTATGTTTACACTCAAAAAATCGATATTTAATGTGAAAATATCAATTTTTGATGTAAAATAAAAGTGATCGCGGATTATCTTTGTTTTGGATCTATCTCTTCTAGACTCCTATATAAATATACTTTTTTGTTTTCACTCCAAAAATCGATTTATGATGAGAATTAAAAGTGATCACAGATTATCGTTGTTTAGGCTCTATCTCTTCTAGTTTCCAAAATAAATGGACTTTTATGTTTTCACTCAAAAAGTCGATTTTTGATGAGAAATAAAAGTGATCACAGATTGTCCTTGTTTTGGCTCTCTTCTAGTTTCCAAAATAAATGGACTTTTATGTTTTCACTCAAAAAATCGATTTTTAATGAGAAATAAAAGTAATCACAGATTATCGTTGTTTTGGCTCTATCTCTTCTAGTTTCCAAAATAAATGGACTTTTATGTTTTCAATCAAAAAATCGATTTTTGATGTGAAAATATCGATTTGTGATGTGAAATAAAAGTGATCACAGATTATAGTTGTTTAGGCTCTATCTCTTCTAGTTTCCAAAATAAATGGACTTTTTTTTATGTTTTCACTCAAAAAACCGATTTGAAAAATAAAAGTGATCACAGATTATCTTTGTTTTGGCTCTATTTCCTCTAGTTTCCAAAATAAATGGACTTTTATGTTTTCACTCAAAAAATCGATTTTTGATGAGAAATAAAAGTGATCACAGATTGTCCTTGTTTTGGCTCTCTTCTAGTTTCCAAAATAAATGGACTTTTTTTAATGAGAAATAAAAGTGATCACAGATTATCGTTGTTTTGGCTCTATCTCTTCTAGTTTCCAAAATAAATGGACTTTTATGTTTTCAATCAAAAAATCGATTTTTGATGTGAAAATATCGATTTTTGATGGGATTAAAAATGAGCACAGATTATCGTTGTTTTGGCTCTACCTCTTCTAGTTTCCAAAATAAATGGACTATTATGTTTTCAATCAAAAAATCGATTTTTGATGTGAAAATATCGATTTGTGATGTGAAATAAAAGTGATCACAGATTATAGTTGTTTAGGCTCTATCTCTTCTAGTTTCCAAAATAAATGGACTTTTTTTTATGTTTTCACTCAAAAAACCGATTTGAAAAATAAAAGTGATCACAGATTATCTTTGTTTTGGCTCTATTTCCTCTAGTTTCCAAAATAAATGGACTTTTATGTTTTCACTCAAAAAATCGATTTTTGATGATAAATAAAAGTGATCACAGATTGTCCTTGTTTTGGCTCTCTTCTAGTTTCCAAAATAAATGGACTTTTTTTAATGAGAAATAAAAGTGATCACAGATTATCGTTGTTTTGGCTCTATCTCTTCTAGTTTCCAAAATAAATGGACTTTTATGTTTTCAATCAAAAAATCGATTTTTGATGTGAAAATATCGATTTTTGATGGGAAATAAAAGTGATCACAGATTATGTTGTTTGGCTCTATCTCTTCGAGCTTCCAAAATAAATGGAATTTTATGTTTTCACTCAAAAAACCGATTTGAAAAATAAAAGTGATCACAGATTATCTTTGTTTTAGCTCTATCTCTTCTAGTTTCCAAAATAAATGGACTTTTATGTTTACACTCAAAAAATCGATTTTTGATGAGAAATAAAAGTGATCACAGATTAAAATAAATGGACTTTTATGTTTTCACTCAATAAATCGATTTTTGATGGGAAATAAAAGTGATCACAGATTATCGTTGTTTTGGCTCTACCTCTTCTAGTTTCCAAAATAAATGGACTTTTATGTTTTCAATCAAAAAATCGATTTTTGATGGGAAATAAAAGTGATCACAGATTATCGTTGTTTTGGCTCTACCTCTTCTAGTTTCCAAAATAAATGGACTTTTATGTTTTCAATCAAAAAATCGATTTTTGATGTGAAAATATCGATTTTTGATGGGAAATAAAAGTGATCACAGATTATCGTTGTTTAGGCTCTATCTCTTCTAGTTTCCAAAATAAATGGACTTTTATGTTTTCAATCAAAAAATCGATTTTTGATATGAAAATATCGATTTTTGATGGGAAATAAAAGTGATCACAGATTATGTTTGTATTGGCTCTATCTCTTCGAGCTTCCAAAATAAATGGACTTTTATGTTTTCACTCAAAAATAAATAGGAAATAAAAGTGATCACAGATTATCGTTGTTTTGGCTCTACCTCTTCTAGTTTCCAAAATAAATGGACTTTTATGTTTTCAATCAAAAAATCGATTTTTGATGGGAAATAAAAGTGATCACAGATTATCGTTGTTTAGGCTCTATCTCTTCTAGTTTCCAAAATAAATGGACTTTTATGTTTTCAATCAAAAAATCGATTTTTGATATGAAAATATCGATTTTTGATGGGAAATAAAAGTGATCACAGATTATGTTTGTATTGGCTCTATCTCTTCGAGCTTCCAAAATAAATGGACTTTTATGTTTTCACTCAAAAAACCGATTTGAAAAATAAAAGTGATCACAGATTATCTTTGTTTTGGCTCTATCTCTTCTAGTTTCCAAAATAAATGGACTTTTATGTTTACACTCAAAAAATCGATTTTTGATGAGAAATAAAAGTGATCACAGATTAAAATAAATGGACTTTTATGTTTTCACTCAATAAATCGATTTTTGATGGGAAATAAAAGTGATCACAGATTATCGTTGTTTTGGCTCTACCTCTTCTAGTTTCCAAAATAAATGGACTTTTATGTTTTCAATCAAAAAATCGATTTTTGATGTGAAATAAAAGTGATCGTTGTTTTGGCTCTACCTCTTCTAGTTTCCAAAATAAATGGACTTTTATGTTTTCAATCAAAAAATCGATTTTTGATGTGAAAATATCAATTTGTGATGTGAAATAAAAGCGATCACAGATTATCGTTGTTTAGGCTCTATCTCTTCTAGTTTCCAAAATAAATGGACTTTTATGTTTTCAATCAAAAAATCGATTTTTGATATGAAAATATCGATTTTTGATGGGAAATAAAAGTGATCACAGATTATGTTTGTATTGGCTCTATCTCTTCGAGCTTCCAAAATAAATGGACTTTTATGTTTTCACTCAAAAAACCGATTTGAAAAATAAAAGTGATCACAGATTATCTTTGTTTTGGCTCTATCTCTTCTAGTTTCCAAAATAAATGGACTTTTATGTTTTCACACAAAAAAATTGATCTTTGATGTGAAAATATCGATTTTTGATGGGAAATAAAAGTGATCATAGATTATCGTTGTTTAGGCTCTATCTCTTCTAGTTTCCAAAATAAATGGACTTTTATGTTTTCACTCAAAAAATCGATTTATGATGTGAAAATATCGATTTTTGATGAGAAATAAAAGTGATCAGAGATTATCATTGTTTATGCTCTATCTCTTCTAGTTTCCAAAATAAATGGACTTTTATGTTTTCACTCAAAAAATCGATTTTTGATGAGAAATAAAAGTGATCACGGATTATCGTTGTTTTGGCTCTATCTCTTCTAGTTTCCAAAATAAATGGACTTTTATGTTTTCACACAAAAAATCGATTTTTTATGTGAAAATATCGATTTTTGATGGGAAATAAAAGTGATCACAGATTATCGTTGTTTTGGCTCTATCTCTTCTAGTTTCCAAAATAAATGGACTTTTATATTTTCACTCAAAAAATCGATTTTTGATGAGAAATAAAAGTGATCACAGATTATCGTTGTTTTGGCTCTATCTCTTCTAGTTTCCAAAATAAATGGACTTTTATATTTTCACTCGAAAAATCGATTTTTGATGAGAAATAAAAGTGATCACAGATTATCGTTGTTTAGGCTCTATCTCTTCTAGTTTCCAAAATAAATGGACTTTTATGTTTTCACTCAAAAAATCGATTTTTGATGAGAAATAAAAGTGATCACAGATTATCGTTGTTTTGGCTCTATCTCTTCTATTTTCCAAAATAAATAGATTTTTATGTTTTCACTCAAAAAATCGATTTTTGATGTGAAAATATCGATTTTTTATGGGAAATATAAGTGATCACAGATTATCGTTGTTTTGGCTCTATCTCTTCTAGTTTCCAAAATAAATGGACTTTTATGTTTTCACTTAAAAAATCGATTTTTGATGTGAAAATATCGATTTTTGATGGGAAATA